CTAAGAATAACATTATAAGCACTGTAAAATTCTTTATTGAAATCCAGTCGTCTTATCGTTAAGCATGGGCGTTAAATGACCAATCGTCTCCTGCTTTTAAAGAAATTAGCAAAAAACTTTTAGAGATAACAATAGGAATAATAAGAAAACAGGAACAACAAAGTGAAAAAATTTAACTGCTTAGGCCACTCGGTTGCCAGAAACATTGTGATATTTTGTTTACGTTAGACAGTAACAGAGCAATAAATAACAAAAGCCTTAAATCAGCACAATGTTAAAGAAAAGCCATTCTTCTTCGCCCGAACTGATTCTATGTTATTTTTCGACCCTCTGGGAGTAATACGAAGTAAATATAGGACTCGCAGTGTAACTATACTCTCTGGGCATCAAACTGATTGTCGTCTGGTTTCCGAATATTCTGAGGTTTTTTTGAAATTTCTGCTGCATATGACCATTATCCATAATGAACGACGCGACCCAACCGCATAATAATGCTTGTTGACGAATGGTAGTTTCATACTGGATGATTTTGCTTACGTGTAATGTCAACGTGCGTGTTCCCCGTGTCGCTCTGTGTTAGTACGTTACTTTGGCCTTAGTGTGCCAGTTTCATAGCCATGGTGCTATGTAAATTTTCTTTTATTAACTGCTAATTCCCTTGAACAAGGAATTCACCCCTCTGTGCTTCTGTGAAACCAATCGAACAACTGGTAGCAGATCGTTGAACTTCCGTGGTAGAGACAGCATTGTGTTTTTGTGTCATGCCACATATATTATGCTCTCTGCTGCTTGCGCCTTGCGGCTGCAATTCGTTTTGACCCACCTGGTACCTGACCAAAAATCATCAGTGCAAAGTATAAACGTAGATTTTTTAAAAATGTTCATGAATAATAAAATTGTCTTCTTGGAATGCAGTGGATTTTGCTGTCTGAAGAAAGTGGTTAAAAACTGACCGACAAATACATAGTTTTCAGGTGAAGCAGTGCGCTGGTATTTCCGCTATTGAACTGTCTGAAACGGTTCGTTTGCCAGTGATATTGGCAGGAGAGAGGTATCATATATTTTGTTGCATTTATATTCCCTTTCAGTCATTTTTCTTGATAGATTGTTGCTTCTGGAAGAAAAGGGACTTCTCTGTCGGGACGAAAGCATCGAAGGTTTGCGATTCTTCTTCAACTTGTTCTTGCATGAAAGCTCTGACCTATGATGAACTTCCGCACTAATGATCAGGCGACACGAATTCTGATCGTACATCGCTGAATATCTCGTTTCTAAGGGACATTCTTTTATCTGTGTTGACTTTTGGTATTATTTTTAAACCTGCAGGAATGCCTTACGAACCTGAGCATTAACTAATTTCGTCTAAGCTTCTTCTATTTAATTACTTAATAGCCTTAGAATGTTCGTTATAACTTTATTCACTTGAAAATTTAACAAATTGTCACATTGTAAAAGGACGTACGTTCATCTGCAGAGCATGTCAAAACAGATTACCAGCTATGAACACATTATTGCTGATTGAGCTCAGCTTTATGGCTCGAACCAGTAAAATGATGTTATATGCATCTATGCTCTCTGCGCATCTAGGTGTTCTTCTACCTTACAACGAAAATCTACGTAAATGAGGCCCCATGTGCTCATCTGTGTACGGTTTTTTGCATACTGACATGTATAGAGTACATATACATATCCGTATCGTGCAGTATACTGTACACATCACCTCTGTCGTATTTCGATTTTCAAATGAGAAACTCGTGATCTGGCGTAAAGAGTCCTGCAATTTAAGGCAGCTGCCTAGCCTCTTCACCAGCCGAGGATACCTG